TATTGTTCAGTAGTTTAAGAGTTAAGACTGTGTTTATGTTAAAAAAAGTGTTTTATAAAAGCAGCAACTGTGCTGTACATTTTCATTAATACAGATAATTGGGTGACTGGAGGACACACATTTTTTTGTGTTGGGGTAAGGAATAGAAGTCATTAGAGAAAAAAAGTTTGGCAGATGGGAGGATGGAGGGATAGGAAAATATTTCATAAGCCTGAGAAAAAATGGTAAGGATTGAACACATGAGGAGCCACAAGATATCAGAGATTAAAACCCTTTGTATTTTATGCACAGAAGAATTGTTCATAGATTCAGAGATCATACTAAGAGACTGTTACTGGCCCAGGATTGAATCCTTTCATTTCTGAGCCTAGGACAGGCATAATTTCGGGGGGAAATTCTACATCTGAGCGGGAAAAGAAGAACTTTTCTATAGAAGAACTTTTCTTTTAATTCATAGCTTTTTGAAGATGAGGTGGTTATCAGCATGTGTTTGATGTACTGTGCAGTTTATCACATGGATGTCACCTCCACGTATGCGTTGTAGATGTGTGTATTTTTATACATTTCTCACGTGCACAGTTAGGATGTGTTTTGGATTTAAATGTAACATTTTGGTAACCTCCAAAAACTCAATCCAGTAACAACAGTATATTTTTAACTTTAATGTATCATTTATTATTAATAGTTAGGCATAAGAAAGATAATCATTTTCATTTGCTGATGATAAGTATGGAGCCAAATATAACATGAATAGATTCCGTGCATTTATAACTTTTCCATCACTTGTTACCTCTCTCTCTAATTAATGTTAACAGTTACCCACTAGATAGCTTTAATATACAAACCCAATAGTTATGGTCTCATCTAGTGCAGACAAAGAAAACAGACGAGTATCACTATTTTATTGTACTTTCTAGCTCTGAGAAATGGTACATCTATGAGTTTAAAACCGTGATATCTGAAAAAGAAGTTATATGGCTAAACCTACTTTGATCATCAGAAAATAAAATATCAAAGTGTGTATTATTATATGTATGCAACAGGGCCAACTGAACAATTTTTGGTCAGAAAATTATATGTTCGACTAAACAAGTATTTTTGTGAAAAGTGTCTGCTTTCTGCAGAAAGTGCTGAGTTTTCATCAAAAACTCTCTGGACAAACATTGAAAACATTCAGTTTTGGGCAGAAAATGTTTGATTTATCAACACAAAGTCAAAAATTTTCATGGGAGAAAACAACATTTGCTGATCTGCTATAGTATATAAAATAGACTTTTAAAAATACTGATACTGTGATAACAAATCTTCAGTCAGAATATAGAAATACCCTCAGCTTTATAAATAATTTTACCTTGGGGAGTATGCTACTAACCCATTTGTTCTACTGTACCTGGTAATAAGTTCTTCTGCAGCTTGTGAACACAGCTGGATCTGTGCAACTTCTTCTTCCATAGCCAACTCAACAGCCTGTTGAGGGTACAAGTGAGATCGAAGGACAGGTTTGCAGGAATCATACTTCTGTTTGTCTTCCCAAGACTTTAGGGTATTTTCAAAAGCCTGATGAAAATGGTATGACACATTAGCTGACAGTACTTGCCGTTTTTTATTTCAGCTTATTAGGCACACAGATTGGTACATCATTTTACATAAATATTACAAATACTCCACACTATAAATGGTGTTAAGATTAGTTTTTAAAACTAAATTTAGAGAACAACAGTTTCTTCTGTGAGTAACATCTCTCCCCTGTCCTCTGTAAAATATGCTGTTAGAGACAAATTTACATGAAGACATTACTGTAGGCATTCTTTGTCAGGACAAGATGTTCTGAACCTTATGCTGAGCACAGTGGGAATCTAACAGTCATGCAGAGTCCAAACATGAAAATAAGAAGAAAAAAAAAGCCCTAATAAACTTGCTTTACACAACAAAGTAGCTATCATAACACAAGCCATGATGAAGGGAGAGAACTGAATTCAGCATCCACTCAGGCCAATGGACAGAGGAACTATGGGGAAGTTAGGAGCATTTACACCAGGGGAGGGCAAACTATGTCCCGCAGGCCGGATCTGGCCCCTCAGGGCTTTCAATCCGGCCTGCCCTGGCCCCATGCCACTCCTGGAAGCAGCCGGCACCACATCCCTGCGGCCCCTAGGGGACGGGGAGGTAGTGGGCTCCGTGCATTGCCCTCACCTGCAGGCACTGAGCCCCCCACCCCCGCAGCTCTGATTGGCCAGGAATGGGAAACCGCAGCCAATGGGAGCTTTGGGGGTAGTACCCACAGGTGAGGGCAGCGCGCCGCGGAGCTGCCTGCCCCACCCCACCCCCAGAAGCCACTGCCGGACATGCTGGCCACTTCCAGGAGAGGTGCGGGGCCAGGGTAGGCAGGGAGCCTGTCTTAGCTCTGCTGTGTGCCGCTGCCACCCCAGAGCCACTCGAGGTAAGTGGCGCCGGGCTGGAGCCCACACTCTGAACCCCCTGCACTGAGCCCCCTAACCTCCTGCCGCACCCCTCCTGCACCCCAACCCCCTGCCCTGAGCCTCCTGCTGCACCCCATACCCCTCCTGCACCCCAACCCCCTGTCCCAGCCCTACATTCATGGCCCTGCATACAATTTCCTCACCCAGATGTGGCCCTTAGGCCAAAAAGTTTGCCCACCCCTTGTTTACACCCTTGATTCTAGAATGGTAGAATAGTGCACATTCCCCCAGAGGCTAATTGGTTTGAAATGGGTTCTGTTACTATTTGGCAGGGCATGTGATCTTGCTGTGGCAGTCATGAAGAAGGCACGTTATATAGCTTATTACCTATGTAATTGCAGCTAAAACTTCCAATTTATGATAAAGTACAAAACTAGTATCTGAAAGAGAAAGTATATTATAGTCACTAATACTCTTATGTTTATACAAAAGTATACATAGTACTACAAAGACAGATAATCAGAACGTTTCCTCCTGGAAGTTTGAGGATTTCATCTCATCAAAAAAAGAAATACTGTTATGGTCAGACATTCTAGCAGGTGACAAAGATAAGAGTTAAGCTATTTGTGTACAAGAACATATCTGTACCAACCTTTTATTTATTATTTCATAAGCTATTTTCTCTTGTTATAACAGAACCAAGTTGTTATAATAATGGCACTAATGAAGTATCCCATACAAAAGATAAAATGCTTTCTATAACTTACTCTGTCTCGTGTTAGCATCTGAGCTCTGTTTTTATGTACAATTTTAATAACTCCTGGGGGCTGGATCCATGCCTCTCCATCTACTTGCACTGGTACCCCTTCATCTCCAAGTATGGTGATCTTTACTGACCGACACTGAAAGAGAGTAAACATGTTAGTTCACAGAATAATATATTAATGAAATTGACAGTCCACCTGCATTAGACTGGTTGTTAGAAGCTGTGGCTTCTATCCAGGTTTGTCTTGAGGGTAAAACACTGTTGTATTTCATTCAGCATTTATGATGACTTGTTACCCGTTAAAATTAAAACAAAGTCAATATTTTATTAACGTATAATGCAGTAGTTGTCTAGACTACCTCTTTTCTCTGCAGCCTCCCAGCATGCCAGCTATCTTGGTTGCTTTCCAACAAGACACATACCTGAGCTATTCTGTGGTGCTGCAATTTGATGACTCTTGAAACTGCCATCTGCATGCTGCCAAATACCGCGACAACTTCTAAGATTTTGTCATCAAATGATGGTGCCCCAAATATCTGAGAGGAAAAGAAAATATCAATATTAGACTCTAAGCTCTTATTGCAATCTACACAGTGCAGGGATTCTGTCTCCTTTTATGTCTGGTGCAATTCCAAACACACTTTAGGTATTTAAATAGTAGAACTAATGTATTTGAAAAATAAAGGGTGGTCATAATGGCAATTAAAGTACTTGAAAGCCACAATATATTATCCATATATAGGGTTGGTGGCGGGTTTAAATGCACATACTGAGAAATGTTAAGCAACTCAAGATTAATGTGGCAAACATAACTATGCTAATCTTCAATTGGTCAATATTTCTAAAGTCCAAGAGCAATTAAGAAGGACATTTATTTTAACAGAGCTCAAAAGTGCTTATCTTTCTTTGTCCAGAATTCTCTTTAGACCATCTTCAAAATCTATATTGGTAAATGAAGTGTCAATGCCATTTCATTTAATGCTGAAGAAGAATCTCATAAAATTTACCTGTTTTAATAATGAAAACTTTACTTGAACATTCTGTTTTTGTATCAAACTAATGCCCCAATCCAGCAAAGACTTAAGTACATGTCCGTTGATTTCAATTGGACTAATCACAGGGCATAAAAGTTAAGCACATGAGTAAGTCTTTGCAGGACATTAGCTTGGCAGTTCCCTAAAATAAAGTTTCTCTCTCTCTAGGATATTATATGACCCTCATCATCAAGGGCATGCAAATGTCTTACATTGTCTTACATGAATATAGAACAAAAAGATTATTCTTTGCCAGGTGCTTCTCCTTCCTTTTCTATTTCAAGTAACTTTTGATATATCCAGCTTCAGTTTATTTGCCTTTAAGAAAAAAATGAAAGCTTGGACCTGAAATTACTCCAGGATACCACTTTTCCATCTTCCCAGGAACTGGATTACAGCCTACTCACAAATTGGGGAATTCCATTCCCCCTGCTTGTTTACAAAAGCCCATTTAGCTTGTGTTTTATCTTTAGTGCAGGGATGGGTATTGTTATATTCTGGTTTCTCTGCATGTATAATTTACTTGCATAGAACTTCTGTAGCGTGATTTTTTTCCAACAACAACAAAAGAAATAACAGTCTTCTAAGAATTCAAATTCAAGGATTAGCACACCCCCTTTCCCCCCGTGGGTTCTGCTTCTAATCTCCCTGTTCTTTCCAAACTAACAAACTCCCTGGGATAACTCCCCATATACAAAATTCAGTAAGTGTGTTGTGGTAAATGCAGCCAGGCTCACTGAGCAATATTTTAGGAATAGACATCGCTGTCAAGACAGCCACTTTCTTCTGTCCAGATAAGCAGAACCAGCAACCTCTCAAAAACTACCGTCAGTATTGCTCTGTTGATCAGTCACCTGAGACAGCACGAAGAGCAGTGAGTTGTGCACCTAACCTCCCACAGAATAAATGTGTCACCTTCGTGACACATTTGATTATGAGTAGCAACAAGGTTACTCCCAGACATACATGTGTGCTGCATACAAATATGATTGCTAGAACAGTCTTCCTCTCTTTCTTGACCCTCTGGGAAAAAAAGCAAAAATTCCTGAATGTAACCTGAATGGATGTTAGGGAAACTTCCATGCTGCAAACATGAATATGGAGGCCACCAAAATGCTAGATATCTTTACTCAAATGCAGCTTGAGCTGACTGCCATGTTCAAAAGACTTGTACTATGAATAGGAAAAAGACGCCAAAGAATAGGAAATAATGTTTTTGATGAAGAAGGGGGGAAAAAGGGGGTATGAGATTGTGAACTGTAAGAAAGTTAAGCACTTCGGGGAAAATGTTAGGGATAGTCTATGTTAAAACACAATCTTACTAATGAGTCTAATTTTAAATGATAATTAAATGTACAAAACCATGTCAAAGCAATACTGTGATTCAGACTTCACACACATTAAATCAGGAAATTCAAAATTATGGTAATCCCACAGCAATCACACTAGATCATTTGTGCATAAAGTACACTTCAACAGTAAGAATCCCATCTGGCATACCCTCAAAGCAGTGAAACAGTAGTGTATGTAGTAAAGTGTCTGTGCAGTATAAGGTCTGTCAAGAAAAAAAAGGACCATTTTGGATCAGTCCATAAGCTTACTGGCAACAATATATGTACTAGATATAGACACAGAAAAAGGTAATTAAAGGATTCTACAATTTTTAATCCTCTCTTCAGTTAATTTATTCTCAGTCCCTGTTTTCAGATTCACCAATCCACCTACAGCTTTTTAAAGAATAGGAGCAAAATGAAGATAGAAGCCTTGGGAACGATACAGTTGGCCAGCTCCCTTTTCTGTTGGATATGGTGCACATAAAGTGCATGCACTGGGAAACCTTGATTATAGCAGATCATCAACTAGTACATAAAAGAGGAGAGGGAATTGCTATTAACTTTCATCATTGTTTGTAAAGGAGTCATGTCTAAAAATTCCATCTTTATAGCCATATATTCTTTAAGTATTGAGCCCTATTTGGAAATTTCGGTGACCTTAAGGGGAGGAGAAAGGAAAGAAAAAATAAAATGAAAATCAAAGTGACATATTTTCAGTAAAAATGGAAAAACTTAATGCAAGAGTGCACACATTTCTAAACTGAAACCACCTTACGGAACAATAGCTTCCTGATAGTTATCCAGACTATATACCAGTACTATTACAATTAAATGAGAACAACAATAGTGCAAAGTGCTTTTTGTAATTTTTGTTTCCAAAGGTTACTTTTCTTTAATGTTACTTACATCATCCTCTTTGGTTCCACCCCAGAAATTAGTCCCACCAGCATAGCTTGGAATGTTTAGCACAGCTATGCCTTGAAGACTGGGGAGGGGGATGTATTGTCCATCACACTGTAATGCATAAAAACCTATGTGAGAATGTAAGACAAATGACCTGATAAAGTAATCAACCATTTCTAATTCACAAAGCATTTCAACAGAGTCAGCAATGGAAGTTAAAGTCAATATTGCATTAGTAGCTCTATATGAGTCTATTTTTCCTATGATGCGGAGTAGCTCTGCATAAATCTATTCTTCACACACTAATCAAGATTTTTTTCTTAAACTACAAAATATTTGAGCTACAAATATCTGCAACAGTGTCAAAAGGTAACTCTCTCTGTCCCTTCATAGAAATTTGCTCAAGTTCCCAGCAGTAACTTTATGCATTTATATGTCAATCTCTAACTACTAGGAATTTGGAGGTTTCTTGCACCTTCTCCTGAAGCATATGGGGCTGGCTGCTGCCAATGACAGGATACTGGGCTATCAGGACTGATCTTGGTGCATATGGTCCAGCATGTCTACTCTCTTCTAACCAGAAATTCTACCAACAGCAGATAGCATCTTTTAGTTGCAATTAGAATCTCATCACTGGAAAAATAACTATACTACTGCAGTGAAAAGAGGTCAAATGAGCATACAAAATATTATAAGCATAAATATAAAATGAAAAATTATTAAATGAATATGTTTAAACCATGTATAAAATGTTAATAAAATGTAAAAAGCTATGTAAGAATATATAAAAAGAGGAATACTACTTTCTTAAATAAACTAATACATGGTAGCATTCCATTTGTCAACCACATAATGACAGAAGCCATTGCAGCATATCTACTTGTTAACTCTGGGATAAAGCCTAGAAAAAAATTGCTATGAAAAATGAGAAAAAGTACTTATTGTGAGATTTCACTTTAAACTTGAGACTTCATTGGATGTTGCCACCTTCATCTCTCATTATTTCAAAAAAGGCGCCATTCACCCATTGGATAATTAGAATCCCACCCTGTAGAGGTATTCATAGTCTTGCTAAACTATTATTATTTACGTAGCATCCAAAGTATGCTAGATCCTTTTCTAAATATGCAAGAAGACAGTTTCCTACCCTGAAGTGCTTACAATATAATCAGACAAACAATGAAAGGTGGAGGGAAAGGATTTAATAAACAAGCATAATGAGAAAGGTGGAGTTAAGCAAAAGTCTTGTTTGTTCTTATATGCTTGGCTTCACTTGTATATATGTCTCAGTGCCCTGAACTGTTCATGTCCAATTGCTATCCCCTGATGAAAAGATTTCTTTCACCGTTTCCCTTGTACTTTGCATTGTCCACTTCTGACAATGTACAGAAAAACAGCCAGTCAGAAGATACTCATGAAATTCCAAACATGCAAACAGTCTCTGGAGCAGTCCCTCTCTCTACATCCCCTATCCCCTAAAATACTTAAACAACTCTGTCTGCTGCTAAAAAGTAACCCTGGAGTCAGTGTGAGAACAGTTTTGGAAGTACAACATATTGAACCCACTTCTGAAAAAGTGGCCCAAAATGTATTAGAAATATACTTAGTAGCACCTGTGATCTCTGGTTTTATATTATTCCACCTTAGCAGCAATTCAAAATATAAAAACTTAAAATATTACAGTATCCAAAGTATGGCATGAAATTAATAGATGTGACTGTTCCACTTGTGAGTTATAGTATATGATTAGTTCTAACTCTTGAAAATGACTAATTTTATATCACTCTTCAATGCTGTGTATTTTATCACAGCACATAACACATACCATTATGTAAGACAATACTAAATATGAAACTTCCACAGACTTTTCTACTTCCAAAAATATTCAGAAATAATTATGAAAAGGTCAGATTTGAATGCTAAAATATATCTTATTCAAAAGAAATGTTACAGGTTTGCAGGTTCTTAAATTAGAAATCTACCTGGAGCATACATAATGTTCTTTCCTATCATCATCTTCACTAACTACAGCACAATTTCTAGATAATTGCTAAATCCTTAGATAATGGAAACTTGCTTCTATAATACTAAACCCTTCTAAAGCGCACTCAAGAGAAAGAGAGTTACAATAAATTAAAATTACTCCCTCAGCTTAACAGGTATCTTCATATAAATAACATGAACTTTCAGATAAAATATTTAGCACAAAGAAAAGGACAATGCATGTTCTTTCCTTCCCCCATCAAACTTGTAATCATTGTAATCATTTCCCAGACTTGTATCACGGCTAATCTCTTGCTACATCTGAACTTGTTAGACATTAATGTCTTTTTCAAGTTCCCAGTATTTTGAAAAAGGCTTAAGTTTGGTTTTAGAACTAGAGTAGGAACTAGCCAGATTGAATTGATTTATACATGTATCTGTGTTGTGGCAAGACACAGTATCTTCCTACTTCTACACAGTTCCCTCAATATTGGAATTAGGAAAGTCTCTCTAAATGCCCTGGTTCTTTATATACTAAATTCTTTATGTACTAAATTCATCTGTCATTTATGATGAAGTCATTTTTAATCATTCTTAAGCCTTCTTTTCCAAGATGTTTATTAGGTACTTTGTATAGACATTTAGTCAGCTTCCATACAAGCTAAACCAACCTGAGAGGATTAATGCTTTTTTTTTCCATAATGTATATTGTTGTTCTTGAGACCTACTCTCCATTCACTGTGTCCCAAAAGCCCCCCAAAACCTCTTATTGGTGTCAGTGAGAGATGTATATTGAGAAAACAGATCCCTTAGAGTCTATTGTCTCTTTAATTATATGAAAAATTATTATAGTGACAATGATAAAAGTTATTCAGAAACATTAAATGCCATACTTTTGCAGATTTTAAAATACTTATTGTGTGTCCAAGGATTCACATTGTGATTAACTTCTCATCCACCGCATTTCATAGATTACATTTATGAGGGATAGATTTTTCATAGTTTCACCTAACTTGTTAGGTACAAAACAAGTGAGATATTTCAAGAGGATCCCCATGTTCTGCACTGTAAATTTTAATGGCAAAAACCTCATCAAATCTGTAAATAAAATAAATATTACCTCAAGCTGAACTTTTTGTTCTAAGTTCTTATAGGTTCTTTGCAGTAACTCTTTGGTACCAAGCACCCCATACCACATCATGTTCTTCGTCCGGCTTCTGGAAATAAGTAAATAAAAATTCATATACTGAAGCATGCAATTTGTTATGTATCAAAGCTGTGGAAAGAGTCAAAAGTTAAAGATATAAAATAAAGCAAACAGAATAACAACATTAAGAAAAATTAAAGGCCTCTGCTTTATCACTAAGAACTCCATTACCGGCACTTTTCAGGGTGTTCCTCTCGTTTATTATTAAATTCTAATGAAATTTTTGCATCTAATCCAATTCCAAAGTAGTTGTTCATGACACATTTTTCTGAATATCCTTCCCTGTGAAAAGAATACATATATGTAAGTATCCACTTATGAAGTTATCTGAACAATTACTTTAGGGCTTTGAGCTAGATTGTGGCTGGCCCTACCACAGGCACATGACCGAGGCAGGGTGCAAAGCATTTGATTGATTGATCTTAGATACTTATGTGGCCCCATTACTCAGTACTTGAACACTTCACAAACTTTAATGTATTTAAACTCACGACACCCCTGGAAGATAGGGAAGTGCTATTATCCCTATTTTACAGATGGCAAACTGAGGAACACGGGAA